CCTTTTTCTATGTTTTGATTTTATTATATATATATTCTTTTCTTTTCTTTTCAATAAGTCAAACCTTACCCATAAACATGGGCCAAAAAAATTAGGCCTTTATGTATGTCGGGACCCAACAAACTCCCCCTCCCGACTACGCAAAAGGGTCAACCATACCCGCTATCCGTCTGCATGCTTCATGCTTTCCTCTGGGTAAGGTCTTTGTCATCATATCCGAGCCATTATCATCTGTATGTATCTTTTCGATCTCTAACAAATTTTCATTCAACATGTCTCGAATCCAATGATACCTGACATCAATGTGCTTCGACTTCGAGTGGAAGCTTGGATTCTTGCTGAGATGAATAGCACTTTGACTATCGCAGTACAACACATATCTCTCTTGTTTAATGCCCAACTCTTGCAAAAATTTCTTCATCCAAAGCATTTCTTTGCAAGCTTCGGTTGCCGCTATGAACTCAGCTTCTGTAGTTGAAAGAGCAACACACTTCTGTAACTTGGATTGCCATGATACAGCTCCCCCTACAAAAGTGATCAGATACCCCGAAGTGGATTTTCTGGAATCAACATCACCGGCCATATCTGCATCTGTAAACCCATTTAGCACAGTTTTGTCATTCCCAAACTGTAAACACGCTTTGGAAGTACCTCTGAGATATCTGAAGATCCATTTCACTGATTCCCAATGTTCTCTGCCTGGATTGGAAAGATATTGACTCACAACGCCAACTGCATGAGCTATATCTGGTCTGGTACAAACCATTGCATACATCAAGCTTCCAACGGCCGAGGAGTATGAGACGCTACTCATATCTTTCTTCTCTTCTTCACTTAAAAGGCTCTGTTTGGAACTAAGCTTGAAATGATTGTCAAGCGGAGCACCTACTGGCTTTGCTTTGTCCATATGGAATCTCTCAAGCACCTTCTCAATATATATTTCTTGTGATAACCACAACTTTTTAGTTTTCCTATCACCGGAAATTCTCATGCCAAGAATCTGCTTCACTGGTCCCAAATCCTTCATGGCAAAGGATTTTTTCAACTCCTTCTTGAGTTCGTTAATCTTTTTGCTATCAGCACCAACAATTAGCATATCATCCACATATAGTAAAAGAATAATAAAATTATCATTAGCGAATCTCTTAACAAAGACACAATGATCAGAAGTTGTTTTCTTGTACCCATGCTCCCCCATGAACGAATCAAACTTTTTATACCACTGTCTCGGTGCTTGCTTTAATCCATAAAGGCTCTTCTTTAATTTGCACACCAAGTGTTCTTGCCTTTTACTTGGAATCCCTCTGGCTGCTCCATATATATCTCTTCCCCCAAATCTCCATGAAGGAAAGCAGTTTTCACATCAAGCTGCTCAATCTCCAAATTCAAACTGGCCGCTAAACCAAGTACAACTCTGATAGATGACATTTTCACCACTGGTGAGAAGATCTCATCAAAATCTACGCATCTTTTCTGATTGAACCATTTCACAACCAATCTCGCTTTGTACCTTGGTTGTGAGCTATTTTCATTTGTCTTCAATTTGAAGACCCATTTGTTCTTTAGAGCTCTCTTTCCTTTCGGCAACTTCACCAATTCGTACGTATGGTTATCATGCAAGGATTGCATCTCATCTTGCATTGCTTCTAGCCACTTCTCTTTGCCACTATCACTTAGAGCTTCTTCATAACTCTCTGGCTCTCCCCCATCAGCGAGCAACACATATTCATCTGAAGAGTACATCTTGGAAGGCTGACGATCCCTAACTTAAACGGTTTCTTGAATTGGTGGCTCTAGAACTGGTACTTCATCAGAAAACACAGAATCATCGACGTTGTCTGCAAGTGTATAATTTTCTTCATTATAAACTTCAAAGTCTGATGAAGGAGGATCCAACTCTATCAGATCACCTGTTTCAGGTTCTAGTTTCTTCACAGTCTCGATATCTTCGATGGTCTGATCTTCGAGAAACACAACATCTCGACTTCTGATTAGTTTCTTATCAACTGGATCCCACAGACGATAACCGAACTCATCATATCCATAGCCCAAGAATATGCATTGTTTGGTTTTACTATCAAGCTTTGATCTCTGATCTTTGGGAATATGAACAAATGTCTTGCATCCAAAGATCTTCAGGTAATCATAGGAAGAATATTTTCCTGTCCAAATTTTATGAGGCATGTCACATTTCAAAGAAACTGTAGGAGAAAGATTTATCAAATCCACTGCTGTCTGCACTGCTTCACCCCAAAAACATCTCAGTAGTTTTGCATTCGACAACATGCATTTGGCTCTTTCTACAATGGTGCGATTCATTCTTTCAGCCACACCGTTATGTTGGGGAGTCTTAGGAACTGTCATTTGATGTTTGATCCCATGCCTTTTACAATACTCATCAAATGGGCCTCTATACTCACCACCATTGTCAGATCTAATGCATTTCAGTTGTTTCCCTGTCTCTCTCTCTACCTTTGCTTGAAACTCCTTAAATGCATCTAAGACATGATCCTTAGATTTTATGATACGCATCCACACCTTTCTAGAGTGATCGTCGATGAATGTGACAAAATACAAGGCACCACCTAGAGATTTTTCTCTCATTGGACCACAAACATCGGAATGTACCATATCTAATACATTAGAGCTTCTATTTGCTCGAGCTTTAAACGATACTCTGTATTGTTTACCAGCTAGGCAATGTGTACAAGTTTTAAGAGACACGCCCTTTGCTTGTGGTATGAGATGCTTCTTAGCAAGAACTTCCAACCCTTTCTGACTCATGTGCCCAAGTCGCTTATGCTATAACTCCATCTGAGATTCATCTTCCACTGCATTTACCATGCTCTGTGCAAGTTTCGCAGTCATCACATACATGTTGAGGTTCTTGCTTCCCCTGACCACCACTAACGAGCCTCTGATGAGCTTCCACTGTTTCTCTCCAAAATGACTATGATAGCCATCATCGTCAAGTTGTCCTGTGGAAATGAGATTCAATCGCATATCGGGAACATGTCTAATATTTTTCAGAATTAAGGTACATCCTCTACTAGTCTCCAAACACACATCTCCAATACTCATGACT